AGGTGCGGTGTCCCCCGGGCCAGCAGGGGGCGCTGTGGCGCAGCTCGGCCGCTGCCGCTGCCTCACATGGCAATGGCGGGCAGCTCCATGGAGGGTCAGGGCTGCAGCAGGAACCTTGGACGGGCGATGGGATGAGCACATCCCAGAGTAGTAAAAGTCGGGCTCCCAAGCACGGCCACAAGAGGCTCCCTTGGAGGGCTCGGGTTTTTTCCCCTGAGGCACCCGAGTAGATGGTGAGGGTCCTTGCTAGTGAGGTAAGGCACTAATAAGATCCCAGTGCTAGGGCTGCTCTGACAAGCAGAGGCTCACCCACAGTAAGGAAGGAGCAGTACAGGGCTGGGCTCCAGCAGTGCAGTGAGCTCTCCCCACAGAAAGCAACAGCTCGACCTTCTCCCCCCAATGCAGACAGTGAGAGGGAGCTAGGAGCTGCACCCAGCCCCGTTCCTCCCCAGCCTAAAATCTCCTGGTAACTCTGCCCTTCCCAAGAGAAAAGCCCACAGGTAAGAGAATAGCCAGCTGCACCCTTCCCCCTCATGCTCCCAGCCACATATTTTTAAGTATCAGTAGGTATTGTTTCTTAGCAACAGATGTTTCTTTCCATGAGAGAAAGAAACAAAAGGAAAAACCCTAACCCTCAACAGTGCCCCACCAGAGCTTCATGTGCAAGTGCAAAGTGATCTTCTAAGAAAACAAATGAAATTCTAATAATTTAAATCACCTGATGTGTTCATCTGTTGGGGGCAAAGAGGAAAGTTGTTAGCCAGAGCTTCTTATCCACTTTTCTGCAGAAACCCAAAAAGCCCCCACCATTCTCTCCAGTCAAGCAGGTGTGGATGTTTCCTTCTGCACTGCACAGGTGAATCAGTGTGTGGAACTGTCTTTGGGTGAAATTAAATGTTTGGCTTTGGTTTATGTTGCAAATTTCCATTTAAAGAGATGTATTTGAGGGAGGTTGAGCTTGTGAATCCCACCTTGCTGCTGTGCCAAGTGCTCTGGTGTGTGTGGCCTGACAGACATAATTAAATACTGTCAGTGTAATTGTGGCTGTACTGAAATCCATGGATGTGAAACTGTTGTAAAGAAATTATTTCCAGAATAGATCTTTCCCTTCACTCAGCAGCTAGAGGAGATGAAATCCACTCCCACAGTGGATCACTGCAGCCACCATGGCAGTAAATAATGAGGTGCACTTGGTAAAGGGGAATTTTAGCCCAGATAAAAGTTTAAATGCCCTGCTTTCTGCAAAAAAACTAACCCACTAACCAGTACACCTTCATTTCTTCTCCTCATTCACCTTTTGCCCTCTTCTGTTTCTTTCATGCTCCTGAACTCCTGAGCAGGCATCATCGGATCGCCGAGGAGAGTGGGAGATCCAGCCAAGCCGGCAGACAAATACCTCGTACTTGACATCTCATTTGGCTGCAGATCGACATGGAGGATCAGTGCAGGTACCTCTTCCTTCTGCTGTGTGCAGCCTTTGTGTTAAACCCCCTGAAATCTTCTCAAACTGCAGCAATGTAGTGGTCAGGAGAGCAATTTCACTGGTCCTGTCCCATTCGTCATGCTCAAGCCATGGTTTGGGAAGGACCCAAGCTGTGATGGCCAACACTATGGCTTTTATTGTTCAAAAAAATATTTTAAACTGTTTTGAACCCAAATTTGTTAAACTGAAGACAGAAAGGAGTGGCATTAGTAAGTCTGGTCTATAAAGTACCCTCTACCCTCTCTTGGAGGTGCTCTAGGGCAGTGAGTTGGGGAGCACACACACAGGCCTGCTGCTCTGCTTTGGCTGCTCCAGCCTGGAGACTCCAAGGCACCCATGAAACTCAGCAGCCTCCTGAGAGGGTGCAAAGAGACAGGAGCAAACAATTATTTATCAGATTTCCCATTCCCTCAACAGCCCTTGCCAGGGAGCCTCACCAACGGGATGTTCCTTTGTGTTGTAGGTGGTGAGCTCAACCAACGGGGAGCTGAATGTGGACGACCCAACAGGAGCACACTCCAACGCACCCATCACAGCGCAGGCGGAGGTGGAGGTGGTGGAGGAAGCTAAGTACGTTTGCTTTACAGCAGGCTTTCCACTGGTTGGTCATTATCCTTCTCCTGGGAAGTGAGTGGGGACATTTCTCTGTGGCAAAGTCCTCAATGCTCGTGTCCCATGCCCTTTTCCTTGCATATTGCTGCTTTTGTGCATGGTGCCTTCAGTGCTGCTGCTGCTGCTTCTCTTTGACACTTGTCATGCCTGGAGAACATAACTCTTACTCAGAGCATGTATTGCCAGATAGACATTTTAGTAGCACAGATACCAAAATACCAGGAGCTGATCTCAGGAATCCCGGTGAGCATCCCCCATTGCAGAGGGAGAACACACTGTGCTCTCACGCTGAGAGTGTAGGAGTAGCTTGAGCACAGCTCAGCAAAGAGATCATTGGTCGGAGAGCTGTCACTTCATTTCTGGCTGTGAGAGGTGGGTGCCAGGTATCCAGAACAGTCTGGAAGTAACTCTTGCAGGGATGGATAGTTCTCCCTGGGGGTTCTCTTGGTCCAGCCCTGAGAAGCTGAGAGAGAGGAACCAGAAGCAGCTTGTGGAGGAGAAAGTTCTCCCTCTAAGCTGACCTCTACTGTAGCTGTGGTCAGATGTGAGAACTGCTGTCAGAGTTGCTGCTTTGACCATTTTGGCTCCTGTCCTGCATCCAGCACCATCATGTCACATTTTGCACCTTCTCACTGCCTCTGAGCTAAACCGGGGCCTGTCACTGCCGGGTCACCAGAGAGTTCTGTCACTCCCTGAGTGAGGGGCCAATAGGCCCAGGGCTGCCTTTGAACTGGTTGGTGCTGAGGCATGGCCCAGCTGCCTGCTTATTTCTTGACTGGGTGATACTGGTGCCACTTGTCCCCCACTGTTTGCTTCAACCTGTGTGGCCACTTCTGTATGAAGAGGAAAAGTGGCAAGGAAGGGTATATGGATGGAAAAGGTCCCTAGGTATGTGTCATCTGTGTTGGTTGTCCTCAAGGTCTTCTGCTCTCTATTCCCCAGTCCTTCGGGGATTCCCCAGTCCCTCAGGAAGCACGTGTGTGGGATCTTGCTCACTGGTAGCTGGCCTGGCCTTGATCCCAGCAGCCACAGACACACCTTCTCCTTCCAGCCCAAGAAGCCTCAGATTTGGTGCAGGCTCCTCATCAAGCTGGGAGGATGGGGGAGATCTTGAGGAGCAACTTCGAGAATGGGCAACATTCCTCTTAGATACAGGTTGTGTGGCCGGCAGAGACCACCAGTTTGGCATCATGGGCTCTGAAGGGAGTCTCCCCAGGCATGTGGCTCCTAGGATGGGGCAGATTGTCATCCTCAACAGTTCTGACAACCCAGTGCAAGGAAGAACCAGGAACTTCTCCAGTCCATGTTTGTGCACTGAGGCCAGGTCCAGCCCCCACTCTGTGTACAGGGGAAACATCAAGCCAGGTGGGAAGGAGCTGTGCCACCCAGGCCCTATCACACAGCACATGGAGTTGTCCTGTTCCTCTCCAGCCCTTGTTTGTGTACTCCCGGATTGGTTTTGGAGGTGTTGGGAAGCAGAGCATAAGCTGCTTTGCACTGACAGGTTTGGGGTCTCTTGTAATTCCCAAGCATAGATTGCTTCATTCTGCTTGCCACAGGGAGGGCTTTGTCTTTCCTTACATCTCTGATCACAATTTCCCCTCAGGTACACAAGGGCAAGAGACTTTGGGATTCTGCTCTGCAGAAAAGGGTGCCAGAGAGGGCTGGCAGGAGCTGGAGCTGGGCTCTGTGTTTTGAGATGATGTGCAGTAGTGGGATGGGCTTTCCCTGGCACTCCGCAGGCAGAGCCGTGCCAATGCTTCTGCTTGGAGTGTGCTGGAGAAAAGCTCCGGATTCCGGCAGTGGGTGTCGCTGGAGGGCAGGTCCCAGGTGTAGATCCATCATCAGACCCTTCTGCAGGGGACAAGAGCTGATGGTGGCCCTGAGTCCCCTTCTGATGGCAGCCCCAGATAAGAACTGAGGGGCCTGGTGCCTCCATGGAGAATGGGTGTTTGTCAGAGGCCTTGCGCCCATGGAAGAGGTGGCAAGGGCAGAGTGGTGTGAGTGCTGGGGCGGGCAGCGGGCAGGCCTGGTGTGTGTCTGCCGCTCTGCACTGCATGTTTGCATGGCTGCAGTGACTCGCTTCCATCCCACCTCTGTGAACTAATCGCTCTTTCTTCCTTTCTGTGTTTTTTCTCTATACTCTCTGTAGCTGCCTGAAAATGCTCAACTTGTGGTGAGTCCCTCTCTCCAGTCCACATACAAGGGGGAGCGGACCAGACTAGACTGGGGTTGGCAAAACCAAACCCACCAAACGCTAAAAAAGCACAAAGTCAATGCCAACCCAGAGCTGTTTTGATTTTAGGACCATTTGCAATATTGGGGAGGGCATGGGCTGTGTTTGACCGGCCACACTAGGCTGAGGGATTTGGCTGATCTCTGAACGGATGGATGCAAAATCAGATTTTAATCCTTTCCTATTTGGCTTTCCATCTCCCCCAAACGTTTACGTCCGTGAGCAGATGATGCCTGATGGAGTTGGGCAGAGTTGGGCTTAGGCCGGCTGAGCCTCTTGCAGGAATTCCTCACGCAGACGGTTACAAAGGGTAACCCTGCACTGAGTGTGGAGGAGAGGGGCCAGCTGCTTCCTTGGAAAGTCTCCTCTTGGAGAAGCACAGGCCAGAGAGGATGGAAGGACAAGGCCAGGGAGTCCTCATTAGTGACAGAGCCCCTACTCAGAGAGGGTAGGAGGTAGCTCCTTTCCAGCCAGCTGAGGTGCAAGTGAATGGGCTTCTCCAGGAAAGAAGGGGTGGAAAGGTTGGGGTTAGCACTGGTCCAAGCACAGTTTGGGGCTTTATCAGGGTTTTGAAGCTGCAGCTGTAGTGTCCCAGTCTCAGGTTGTCCCAGGAGATGCCCCCGGGGGAAATCATGTATCCAGTAAGTGAAGGACCAAGCAGACACTCAGATGAATTTGTAGGTTCCAGGGTGGGCTGATGGGTGGAAATTGCCACAGAGCAAAGAGACCAAGCCCGTGTGTGGTGAGGAATGTCCTTGTTGGATGGGAGACTGACTCTGCCCTGCTCTCCATAGGCATCGCCTCCAGTACCTCTGGCATCTCTGGCTTCTCTGTATGTCGTAGTCTGGGGCTGTTCTCTTGGGCATCATCTGCATGCAGAGAGATCACGTTCTGTAATTGTCAGCCTGCCTTATTCTTTTATTTTGGTGTTTTGCCTCTGCCTGTCTGAACCCTTCCCAGGGCTTCCTTTCCTGAACCCTTCCCTGAACCTCTGAGTAACAGCGTAAAAAGACAGTCACAAGGAAAACCAACCAGAAGTCAGTCAGCTCCCCTTGTTCGGTGCCCAACAAGTCAAGTGCTGCTCAGCCCCTTCTTCCCTTACCTACTGCATGCAACACCATCACTCATGCATCCTCCATCCTCTCCCTGTGACGTCCCCCTTACTCGCCATCGCACAAGCCATGAAGGAAGGTGGCTGATGTGGGAGAGCAGTACTGCAATAGGCTAAAGCAGGAGATGGAGGCAGATGGCCTGGGACAACAGAATGCCAGAGCAGTCCTAGGGTGGGGGTTCCAGCCTGGGACAGGGGTGCGGAGGTGGGTGACAAACACCTCAGGGTGGGTGGGCAGTAATGGAGGTGTCACTTCACCTGCAAGGACAAAGGCTTTGCATTTCTCCTTGTCCCACCGCCAAACTGGGCCTGTTCAGGAGCCTAGAGACAAGTCATGGACATCAGTCCGTGCAGTGGGCGGGGTCCCTCCTCTTGGGGGGTTGTGGGAACTCTCCATGTCACAGGGAGAGTTGTTTGTTCTCCCAGGCAGTCGATCTGTGCTGGCAGGCTCAGTTCACAGCAGGTTTGTGCTCACCCATTGCTTTTGCACCCCAGAGTGAGGCTTGTGCACCCCAGGGACAAGCACCTGGGTGAGAGTTCCTCCAGCTCTGAGAGGACAGGGGTGTAAAGCTGACATTCCATGAAGGAGACAGTGAGAAATAGTTTGGAGAAGATGGTTTGGAATGTTTTTAGCCTACAACAGATGGTTGTAGGAAAGAACGGTCTTTGCATCCTCATGTTTGCCTGCCAGAGCTCAGGGAGCACTTGAACAGCACTCTCAGGCACATGGTTGGAATCTTGGGGCTGTCCTGTGCAGAGCCAGGAGTTGGACTCGATGATCCTCATGGGTCTCTTCCAACTCAGGATCTTCTAAGACTCAGTGGTCTACTCTGGTTGCTTATCCAGGCATCCCTTCCACTAGCCTGAAAGAGCAGTCTTCCAGCATCACCCAGGCTTCTCTGGGGATAGCTGTCCCAGCAGATGGAGAAGGACATGTAGCTTGGGAGAACTCGCACAGATGTGCAGAGCATTCCTGGCAATGGGTTCAGGGTAGAAAGGTAGATACATGTTCAAACCCAAGGAATTCTGTAGGAAGCCAGGAGGAGTATAGGATCTGGATGACTACCCCCAGCGTATCCCACAGGGAACCCACCACTCCTCACAGTTCAGCTGCGTTGGGCGTTCCTCTCCCCACCTCAGCCTCCACTCTCCATCCTTCTTGCTTCCCCTAATCCTGAGCACCACCCTCCCATCAGATGGGGGAAGAAGCAGGGTTCTGCATCCCGGCACTGAGTGATGGATCCAGGACGGCAGCTCTGGTTATCGCGAAAGGTTCACTAAAGAAACCTGGTCCCTGAGCCGAGGTCTTTTTGGAACTTGTTTTTTTTAGTGAACAGTGGTGAAAACCGTGTGCCTCATGGCTGGGAAAAGCAGCCAGAGCTCACAGTCCCAGTCCACTTCCTCTGGGGTGGGACAGAGGGAGTGGAGCACCTGGGTCCCTGTTTTACCACTTTCCCAGCTGGCTCCTTGTGTTCCAGCAGAGCCTGGGAGGGAGAAGCCCGGCTGGGAGGGAGAAGCCTGGCCGGCACTCCGGGGCCTGGCAGTGGGACACCCCAGCTGGCCGTGGCCGGTCTCCCAGTCCGGGCTGGTGGTGTCATCCATCCAGCAGCAGCTGCCCCCCGTCCCGGCAGCGTGCTGGGGCCCAGGCCGGGCGGGCAGGGATGCTGTTGCATGCGGGAGGGCAGGGACATCATGGGGACATTGGGGGGACGCGGCAGGCTGCCGGGCACGGGGCTGACTGTCCCTCCTCATCCTTTGTGCCCCAGGTGCTGCTGCTTCTTTAAGAGGAAACGGAAGAAGACGGCTCAGCGTCACAAGTGACCAGTGCCTCCTGGGCCTTGCAGGAACCACCACGCCTGCAGCTCCTGCCCTGTCTCACTGGAAGGGACTTCTCTTTAGGAGGGAGGAGGAGGAGGCATAGGAGGAAGAGAGAAAAATGAAAACAAAAAAAAACAAAACAAAACAAAACAAAAAACAAAAACCCAAGTGACATTTTAAACCAAAAAGAGAAGAAAACGTTCCAAAACACCACTCTGGGGTGGATCTGCTGAATGGTCTCCCTCATTCACTCCAAGCCTGAAGCTCCTTTTGGGACCAGGACTGTGGCTGGCTCAGGTCTTGGTCACCCTGGGAGGGGGGCTGGCTGGCTGACCCTCCTTCCCGTTGTTTACGGCAAAGGCATCGTTGACGCAAACCTGAGGACTGTGCTTAGTTCCTGCTCACTTTCCTCCCCTCCCTCCCCTGCACTCTGCTCCTCTGTCCTCCTCCCTCCTTAATTAAGTGGAGAAATTCCATAGGCTCGATCGGCTGTGGAGAGGGCAGGAGGATGTGGGGCAGGCAGGAGAGTTGCTAGGAGAAGGGCCTGACTGCTGCAGCAGGAAGAGACAGGTTCTCTCTGTGGCTCCTTGGGAACAGTTACACTGTAATGTGCAAGCTGTGAGAAATTTGCAATCTACTGTTCCAGTTAGGGGTTTTTTTCAGGCTCCCTTGACACCTCCCTCCTCTGACAGTAACAGAGCAGTGTGGATTGTTTTAAAGAAGCTGACGTCGTTGCACTTTTTATTATTTTTAGCATTTACAGATGCACATTGTATCTGTGGATCTCTGCGTAGCCACGCCAGCGCAGGCAGACACGCAGTGGGGAGGATGGTGGGGTGCACGGAAATGCCCTGGAGTGGGGATGTCCACAACCCTCGTGCCAGTCTGGGGCTCCTGACGCCCACCTTGGGCCGCGCGCTGAGGAAAGCATACTTGAATTTCCAATCACCCTTCCTAGCTGCCAGTGAATGTCCTTTCCATGGTTTCCTACACCGTGCCTGACCCAGCTGGCTGGGAGACGTGGGCTGACGCCCAGTGTGGGCCGGAGGGAGCGTCATGGGCTTTGCCAAGCCAGAGAAATTTGTGCTGGTTTAAGAGGTAGATCAGGACTGAGATATTGAGAGAAAGCCATTTCCTGAAGTGTGGGCATTTCCCGGTGTGAGTAGCCAGGCAGCTTTCCCAAATCCCTCCTTGGGGTGGTTGGGAACCTGCAAGAAGATATTACTGGGAGCAAAGCATCCCCAGCAGGGGAGAGGATACTTCATGCCTTAACACTGATCCCATCTCCCGATGGTCAGGTAGGTTTGACTGGAATCGCCTTCACATCCTCTCTTGAGCATGGGGCAGGGGCAGGTTCGCCTGCACCATCCCACCCCCACAGCAGCCACAGTTCTCCTGCACCACTTTGAGCCAAACCAGTAGCAAGGAAAGGGCTTGGGGTGCTTTGCACACCCAGAAAAACAGTGAAATCTTGCGTCCAACTGCGGCATTTCCAAAACTGGAGGGGAGATGAGGCTGCCAGGGGTTACTGGAGAAGTGGCAGGGCTGTGGGAGAACTCGAGCAGTTCTGGGAAGGTTGTAAGTAGGTTCATTTGACTTTGTCTTTCTGTGTGTGACATCAGATCAGGCTGGAATGGTTCACTTGTCATAAACTTGGGCCTGGCTTACCCCAAAATCCTGGAGAGCATAAAGGGAGAGACTAGGTCTCATTATCGTTTATTCGATTTAATGCTAATCTGTGTAGCGTGGCATTCACACAGCAACATTGCCAGGAGGTTCAGTTTCCCTGGCTGGGTAAGAGCAGGCTTAGAGGGCAGGAGATCAGCCTGGGCAGCGAGCTCTGGCCTTGCTCCTCATGCATTCCTGAGTCAGGCAGACACTGGTGTGGTGCCAGAGTGGAAAAGCCTCCCTCCTGGGAGAGGGATCCCCGCAGGGCATCTCTCCTCCATTATCTGCTGTGTTCTCTCCATGCCCTGTCCCAGTGAGCGCCATGCAGAGCCCTCAGCTCACACTTGCACCTCCCTGCCCCTTGGCAAAGCACTTTCCTCCAGCCAGGTGTGAGCAGGGCAGGGAGGGCAGCACTCACCTCCCGCGGGCACATGCCAGGCGTGCCCTGTCCTCTCCTGCCACAACAGGGACACAGCCATGGGCACATTCACCTTTCTATTTCCAAACTCCTGCGCTGCCAGTGGCTCCCAGAAGCTGCATCTCTGGCACAGGCATTCCTCTCTCTGCTGTAAGAAACCATGGTTTGGCGTCTTGGGAGGGGGGTCCAGGGGCACAGGCGCTCCCCGGGGAGCTGCCCAGCCCGCTGAGACAGAGCTGGGCCCTGAGACACTTCGTTTGCTGCCCTCCCAAGCCCCACTAAGTGCCTGTCACCAGAACTCGATTCCTTCTGCATCTCCTGCCGTGTTTGGTCATTCCTCGCTGCCTCCACTCAAGGAGCAGCTTGTAGTTGCAGCATATGTAAGTGTTTGCAGGGTGAGGGAGGGCGGGGGGGGAAAGGGGCCATCTCAACAGGTTTTGTTCCAAAATGTTTTTGGTTTCTTTTGTTTCGTTGTTTTTTTGGGGTTTGTTTTTTTGGTTTTTTTTTTTAAGTGAATGTATTTGGTCGTTTAGAAACTTTCCTGACCTTGTTTTTAAGTGGGTTGGTTTGAAAGCTGTTTCATGGTGACCCACTACAGCTTCTCTCCGGAGCTACGGTGTTCTTTTAATCCTACAATGATGTGTTTGGAGGGGAGGACTGTCCCCCCACGGCATGCTGGTAATGCTCACTTGTACCAAGCCCTCTTGCACTATAATCGTACGTTGGACTCTTCAAAAAAAAAAACAAAACAAAAAAAAAGGGCAAAGATGTGGAGTGGCTTTTTAACAAAGAAATTAAAAAAAAGAGAAAAGAAAAGCAAGCAGGTTGCCAGCAAGTCCTGTGCTTGAGGGAAGCGCTGTCCCCAGGGAGCTCGGAGGTGACAAGGAGACGCAGGCAGACTGAGCCAGCCATGCTGTGGTAGGATGTAGGGCATTAACCCGGGCAATCTCTCCCCTCCGTGCCGGGAGCGGTCAGCAGCCAGGAGAGCCCAGGCACAGGGAGGGTGCTCGGGGGCTCCCGGCGCAGGTGCCTCTGACGCCGCTCTCAGCCCACCAACGTTGCGATGCAGTCTTCTGAGGTATCAAGTGAGATGATTTTTTTTTTTTTTCCAATAAAACATTGCACTGCTGCATTGTTCTCCATGAATAGAAGTATTTATTACCTTAGCCTGACCATGGCACTCGTGTTTTGTCTTCCTTTGGCTCTACTGGGTACTTTTGTCACCCTCTGCTCCCCTTGGAGGGGACCACACACGGGTGGGACTTTGCAGGACCTTCTCAACACTTCATGCTTTACAGGCATGGGCGGTTCAGCCCTACAGAGCTCGGCCGAGGTGTGGTGGCACCGATTTCACCTCTCCCTGGGCCCACACATTCCCTCTTCAGCCATCCTGGAGTGCCTTGTCCTAAGGCAGCTCTTCAGAAGGGACCTGCCCCCCTGGCAAGACTGTGAAATAAAAAGGAGTAAGTTAAGATAAAAAGGATGAAAAGGAAGGAGTGAGAGAAGTTCTAATTCCTCTTAAATACCAGGAGAGGCCAGGCTGGAAGCAATAGCATTGTCTGTGGTGCTGCAGATGCCTGTGTTGAGCTTAGCACCATCTCTGAAGGTGTCACTGCCCATGGCAGGGGTTAGACTTGGAAAGGTCCCTTCGAATCCAAACCAGTCTGTGATTGTAAGCCCTGGAGTTAATTGAACATGTAGGGAATTAGGTTTTCATCAGGTCTGGGTCAGTGTCAAAAGTTAAATCTCAGAGGTGGAGATGTGGGTTCCAAGGGTCAGGCAGGGAACCTTTAAGGTTCATCTCCTTGTCAGAGTGCACGTGTCCCCATACAAATTTTTGGGAACAGGAAATGAAAGCTCATGCTGAAAATGGTACATGTAAGGCTGGGGATTAGGGGAAGATGTCACACGAGAGATGACACTGTGTAGCGGGTTCCAAGCGAGGGAACGTGTTGCTTCAGCTGCAGGTGGCTCTGAGCGGGTGCAGTGCCAGCTGCTCTCAAAGGCGCTTCGGCTCTCGGTGGTGTCTCCTCACCCCGACACCGACCCGCAGCTCGCCGGGGACTCGGCTCGTCCTCCCACCGCGGCCACCGAGCGGCCATCGCCTCCTGGTGCTCCATGTCCCCCTGCCCCAGGGGCTGCTGCTGCCGGAGACACAGCAGGGACACAGCGGGGACACACCGGAACAAGAAGCCCGGCCCGGCTCAGCTCCCGCCCTCCGGCCGTGCCCATTGGCCACTGCCACCCCCGGTCCCGCCCCTTCCCCATCACTGACCAATCATCGCTGCGCTCCGCTCCTGATTGACAGCTCCACGGTCGCCCAGCGAGGGTCAACGTGGCGTGCGCCCGCGCCCCGCCCGGCCGGAAGGCGCTGCCTTCCCCCCCCTGTGGCCGCTGTTGGTCG